CTGCTGTAGTGGAAGTTGTTGGCCTGAACGGAAGTGCTGTATAGGGTGCACCACTGACACATTCTCATTGTTGACATGTTTCAGGTGCAGTCAGGATGGAAACTGGCTACACTTCTCTGCAGATCGTCTTATCTGTGGCGCAAGGGATCATCTGTGTCCTCGGCACCATGGGAAATGGGCTTGTGATCTGGGTGGCTGGATTCCGCATGGCATGCACAGTCACCACCTTGTGTTACCTGAACCTGGCCATCGCCGACTTCTTCTTCTGCGCCACTCTGCCATTCCTCATGGCTTTAAATTATACGCAGGGACGATGGCCTTATGGCTGGATCCTATGCAAGTTATTGAACATTGTGATAGACACAAACCTGTTTGCCAGTGTCTTCCTCATTGCATTCATTGCTCTGGACCGCTGTATTTGTGTCTTGCATCCGGTCTGGGCCCAGAACCACCGCACTCTAAGTCTGGCTAAAAAAGTGATCATTGTACCCTGGATTCTTGCTCTACTCCTTAACTTGCCAGTTCTCATCTTCTTTAATACAGTACAAGATGAAAACGGGGATATATACTGCGGTTTTGACATGGACTTTTGGAGTGACATCAGTGAAGAAGAGATGTTGCAGAGGTTGTTTACCTCAGCAGCAATCATAGGGATCAACCGGTTTGTCATTGGCTTCACTCTACCGATGTCCATCATCGCCATCTGCTATGGACTCATTGCAGCCAAAATCTGCAAGAAGGGCATGATCAAGTCCCGCCATCCCATACGGGTCCTCACAGTTGTTGGAGCTTCTTTTTTCATTTGCTGGTTCCCCTATCAACTCTGTCTTCTTCTGCATGCACTCAATGTCAGAGCAATACTTGAAGGAAAGTTCAACATCATTCTCCTCCTGGATTCTCTAACAGGCACCCTGGCCTTCTTCAACAGCTGCCTCAACCCAATGCTCTACGTCTTCCTGGGGAGAGACTTCCGAAAGAGAATGATCCACTCCCTTCCCGCCAGTCTGCAGAGGGCCCTGACTGAGGACACAGACCCAACCAGTCACACAACAAACAAATCTGCTTCGTCTCCTACTGAAGCTGAATTACAGGAGATATGAGGTGACTGGGATCATTGATGAGTTCTGCCTGCTCCTGTCCTGCTCCCTCTTCCAGTTTCATCTTACCTAGGTCACACTGAGTGTTAGGTAAAATTTCCCTGCCCAAGAGACTGTAGAAAGGGACTGAGAGCCCCATTATTACTCTCAGAGTTTACTAAGGGAACATACCCACAAGGCTCAGCTTGGGAGGCAGTTCATGAATGAAACCCAAAACCATATGTTTAAAATAGTGTCTGACATGTGACAGACACCCAAAAAGAAGTTATATAAATAATCACTCAATAAATAAGAGCATCATCCAGGTATCAACTGAAGACCTTTAATATAAAATTAAATGAACTCTGAATTCATCTGAATGGGGGCCTGCTTACTGAACTCTCACTGCAAGTCCCAAAATTTTTACAAATCCTCAAGTGTCATATCTTTTTAAAAACACCTCAGATTTTGACTTTCTGTTTCCAATAAAGTACTCTGGCTAACTGGTGACCGGTGTCTTTGCTTTGAAATGAATCAATCTACAGTCGTTATCAGCCTTTTTTTTTTTTTTTTTTTTTTTTGTTTCCGCAAATAATCACTGACACGTTGCTATCTAAGGTATAACAGAACATGCTGATGCATTAGCAAAGATGAACTCAAAATAAATATTCAAATGCAGAAAAATACGTTGGTGTTAGTCCCTGGTTCTTACAACTGACATCTAAACACTTGCAATTTCCTGAATGATAAAGGTGTCTTTTATCAATTATTTTTTAAGTTTCCTGCATGCTTATGTTAATTTTGTTTATTTATTTTTGTTAATCCTCACCTGAGTGGTTTTAAGAGAGTGGAAGGGAGAGAAAAAGAAAGACAGAGAGAAAGAGAGAGAGAGAAAGAGAGAGAGAGAGAGAGAGAGAGAGAGAGAGAGAGAGAGAGAGAGAGAGAGAGAGACTTTGATTGGTTGCCTCCCACATCCACTTCAACCAGGGCCAAGGATAGAGCCTGCCACTGAGGTACAGGTCCTTGGCCAACATGGAACCCTGGACCTTTTAGTCCAAGGCCAATGTTCCATCCATTGAGCAAACCCATTTAAAGGCTAGAACTGTCTTTTTATCATGAGGAGTCCCTTTGGATCACAACAGATTTTGTGCTAATGAGGTATGTGCACATTTTATTGCTTGCCTCCAATTCCTCTCACATCAGCAATTATTTCTTTCATTTTCTTGAAGCTCTGAAAGAGAAAGGGCCCAGACACAAAACATTCTTGGCCCTTCATATTTAGAGCACTGAAATCCCACAGCAGGTAGAAGGTGAGGGGAATATTCACACACTAAGGTTCTAAAAGGAGTACTCTGCCCTAGTTGGTTTGGCTCAGTGGATAGAGCATCAGCCTACAGACTGAAGCATCCCCGGTTCAATTCCGGGCAAGGGCACATGCCTGGGTTGCAGGCTCGATCCCCAGGAAGAGGTATGCAAGAGGCAGCTGATCATGAATCACATCATTAGTGCTTTTATCTCTCTCTCCATCTCCCTTCCTCTCTGAAATTAATAAATATGTATTTTAAATAAATAAAGTACCCTGACAACATACCCAGAGTGTTTTATGGAAAATGCAAGGAGATGGGCATCTGTCACCTCACTGGTTGAACCCCATTGTCCCTCCCCCTTGTTCTTTAATAAAGCAGCTGCTGAAGCCCTCCTGCCACAGCACGCCAGGAACTGGACACAGGAACAGACAGCAGCTGGTGGTAAGTTCCAAGCCTGAGAATTTAAACATTGTTATGAGAGCATCTATTTTGTGGCAGATACCTCCTGAGCTCTAGAGCTGGACTGTCCAATAGGAATCCACTTGCCACATATGACTATTGAGTTTTTGCTAATCTGACCTGCATTGAGCTGCAGTCAAAAATGTACTCTGATATTCAAAGACTTGGCATGAAAAGGGAAGAAAAAAATGCCTCATTGAAAATTCTCAGATTGGTTATGCTCAAATGGTAGTCTGTATGTGTTGAGTTAAATAAATTATTGAAATTCATTTCTTTTGCTTTTAAAATATCGTATTACATATGAGACTCACATCGTGGCTCTTGCGATACAGCATTGGATGAATTCCGTAGTCTTCTGTTGCAGGTGTATGAATGTAGAGAGTCCTTAGAAAAGGAAAATAAGTGAATGAACAAATGAATAAGGACAGTCCCTGGTGATACAGTCTGTTCTTGGGGAATCTGCTTTACACTGTTAGTCAGAAAAGACACATCTGCGGAGACTGGTTTGGCTCAGTGGATGGAACATCTGCCTGCGGACTGAAAGGTCCCAGGTTTGATTCCAGTCAAGGGCATGAACCTTGGCTTCGGCCACTTTGTCAGTGGGGGGTGTGCAAGAGGCAGCTGATCGATGTTTCTCTCTCATTGATGTTTCTAACTCTATCCCTCTCTTTCTCTCTGTGAAAAGTCAATAAAATGTATTTTTTAAAAAGAAAAGAAAACACACATCTGAGAATATAATATCTAAGCTGAGATAGCAATATTCAGAGAGTGCCAGAGATGGGAAGCTTAAAAAGAGGGGCATAGTACGCAAAAGGAACAGAGCCTGAAAAAGCCTGAAATGGCAATGAGCTTGGCACATTCAAGAAATCAAAGGGATTCCATGTGGATTCCTCACAGGGTGTGAGACGACAGTGGCTATAAGAGTTCTGAAGGGTGTACAGAGCAGACCCAAGAGTGCTTGGGAACTGAGCTATGAGTTTGGAAGTCATTGGAGGCTGTTGAGCAGAAGAATGTCATGGTATGATTTGTGTTCCTAAGAGATCATCTGCCTGATGTCTGCAGAACAGATTTGGGTGGATAGAGCATCAGAAGCAAGAACAAGCCATTGGGAAGGTTAGTGCAGATCTGCAGCCAGAAAAGGGATACAGATCAGGGCTAGGGTGAAAAAAAACATCCCACATGTGGACTCACTGATTTTGGAGAGAGACTTGTTTGACTTGGATGGGATGGTCACGGAAAGGGGGTGCAAGGATATGTTAGCTTTCGAGATTTAACAATTGAGCACGTAAGATACAAACAGGCATGGATTACGGAGAGAGGTAGATTTGGGGGGAGGTGGAGGAGTCAAGATTTTGCTTTATCTGAGGCAACCTTCGGATTGGGAGGAGAAAAGGCTAGTAAATAAGACTGAGGTGAAGTGGCCTGTTGAGCTATTAGCACAACCAAGATTGTGTTGCGTGCACATTTTATCATCAACTGACATGAGAAGGAGGAAGTGGCTTATGGATCCCCCCGAACTGAGATATCAGGATAGGAACTGAGAAGGCACTCCTGGGAGAGCGACATGGAGACCATGGGCCCCCTTAAGGGGAGCACAGTCCTTGGGTGCTCAGGACCATGTCAATTCACAGTGAATTTAGGAGTCAAGCTGAGGTGACAAGTGGAGACACTGCCTTGTAGTGTTTGGCCATGAATATGCTTCACCAAGAGAATTCTCTTGAGGGAACACAGGGCTGAAGCTGAAAAAGAGCATGGGCCAAGGGCGGTTGCTTTGTGAAGAGAGCACATATGATCCTGTTTGTGTGATAGAATGATACAGCAGAAAGAAATTTTTAAAATATTTTACATAGAGGAAGGGAGAGATATAGAGAGCTAGAATCATTGATCAGCTACGTCTTGCACACCAGGGATTTGCCTGCAACCAAGGTACATGCCCTGGACCGGAATTGAACCTGGGACCCTTCAGTCTGCTCTGTCCACTGTGCCCACAATGCCTTCCATCGATTTTCTCTTGTTTATACACCTTGGCTCAGGATTCTGGTGATGGACAGGAGCCTTGGAACACTCTTTGTTGAGGAATCAGCCCAATCAGTAGAATGCCTACTTTTAATTATGGGAACATGGAGAGGTGTCCTTTCCCAAAGGAACAGCCAAGAGTCTGTCCAATCCTAGTGACTAGCCACAAGGCTCAGGAGGGTGGGTCTGGAGAGGAAGCTCCAGTGGAAGTTGTTGGCCTGAACAGAAGTGCTGTGGTATGGTGCTCTGCTGACACATTCTCATTGTTGACATGTTTCAGGTGCGGTCAGGATGGAAACTTGCTACAATGCTCTGCAGATCTTCTTCTTTGTGGCACGTGGGATCACCTGCGTCCTCGGCATCGTGGGAAATGGGCTTGTGATCTGGGTGGCTGGCTTCCGGATGGCATGCACAGTCACCACTTTGTGTTACCTGAACCTGGCCATCGCCGACTTCCTCTTCAGCGCCACTCTGCCATTCTTCATGGCTTTAAATTATACGCAGGGACAATGGCCTTATGGTTTGTTCCTATGCAAGTTATTGAACATTGTGATAGACACAAACCTGTTTGCCAGTGTTTTCCTCATTGCTTTCATTGCTCTGGACCGCTGTATTTGTGTCTTGCATCCGGTCTGGGCCCAGAACCACCGCACTCTAAGTCTGGCTAAAAAAGTGATCATTGTACCCTGGATTCTTGCTCTACTCCTCAACTTGCCAGTTCTCATCTTCTTTACTACATTCAAAAATGATAACGGGGATATATTCTGTGAATTCAACATGGACTTCTGGGATGACATTGGTCAAGAAGAGATGTTGCAGAGGAGCTTTACTTCAATAGCAATCATAGGGATCAACCGGTTTGTCATTGGCTTCACTCTACCGATGTCCATCATCGCCATCTGCTATGGGCTCATTGCAGCCAAAATGCGAAACAAGGGCATGATAAAGTCCCATCGTCCCTTACGAGTCCTCACAGTTGTCGGAGCCTCCTTTTTCATTTGCTGGTTCCCCTTCCAACTGTGTCTTCTTCTGAATACACTCTATGTCAGAGCAGTATTTGAAGGAAATTACGACATCATTCTTGACCTGGTACCTATAACAGGCACCTTGGCTTTTTTCAACAGCTGCCTCAACCCAATGCTCTACGTCTTCCTGGGGAGAGACTTCCGAAAGAGAATGATCCACTCCCTTCCCGCCAGTCTGCAGAGGGCCCTGACTGAGGACTCAGACCCAACCAGTCACACAACAAACAAATCTGCTTCTTCTCCTACTGAGGCCGAATTACAGGAGATGTGAGGTGACTGGGATCATTGATGAGTTCTGCCTGCTCCTGTACTGCTCCCTCTTTCAGCTTCATCTTACCTGAGATCACACTGAGTGTTAGGTTAAATTTCCCTGCCCAAGAGACTGTAGAAAGGGACTGAGAGCCCCATTATTACTCTCAGAGTTTACTAAGGGAACATACACACAAGGCTCAGCTTGGGAGGCAGTTGATGAATGAATACCAAAACCATATGTGTAAAATAGTGTCTGACATGTGACAGACATCCAAGAATGAGTTATATAAGTAATCACTCAATAAGAGCATCATCCAAGTATCAACTGAAGACGTTTAATGTAAAATTAAATGAACTCTGAATTCATCTGAATGGGGGCCTGCTTACTGAACTCTCTCTGCCAGTCCCAAAATTTTTACAAATCCCCAAGTGCCTTATCTTTTTATGAACACCTCAGATTTTGACTTTCTGTTTCTAATGAAGTATTCTGGCTAACTGGTGACCGGTGTCTTTCCTTTGAAATAAATCAATCTACAGTCGTCAGCCTTTTTCCTTGGTGTCCACAAATAATCACTCACAGGTTGTCATCTAATGTATAACAGTATATGCTGATGTATTGGCAAAGGTGAACTCAAAATAAATATTGAAATGCAGAAAAATATGTTCCCAGTTTTACAACTGACATCTAAACACTTGCAATTTCCTGAATAATAAAGGTGTCTTTTATCATTTTTTAAAATGTTTTCTGCTTGCTTATGCTAATTTTGTTTACTTATTTTTATTAATCCTTACAGGAGTGCATTTAAGAGAGTGGGAAGTAGAAAAAGAGAAAGAGGGAGATTGGTTGCCTCCCACATCAACTCTAACCAGGGCCAGGAATAGAGCCTGCCACTGAGGTACAGGTCCTTGGCCAAAATGGAACCCTGGACCTTTTAGTCTGAGGGCCAATGCGCTATCCATTGAGCCAACTGATCTAGGGCTAGAACTGTCTTTTTATCCTGAGGAGTCCCTTAGAATCACAACAGAATTTGTGCTAATTAGGTATGTGCACATTTTATGGCTTGCCTCCAATTCCTCTCACATCAGCAATTATTTCTTTCATTTCCCTGAAGCTTTGGAAGAGAAATGGGCCTGACACAAAACAGCCTAGGCCCTTGATATTTAGACCACTGAAATCCTGTTTCCCAGAGCTGGTAGGAGGTGAGGGTAATATTCAGACACTAAGGTTCTAAAAAGAGTACCCTGCCCTAGTTGGTGTGGCTCATTGGGTAGAGCATCAGCCTACAGACTGAAGGGTCCCCAGTTCAATTCCGGGCAAGGGCACATGCCTGGGTTGCGGGCTCGATCCCCAGGAAGAGGCATGCAAGAGGCAGCTGATCATGAATCACATAATTGATGCTTTTATCTCTCTCTCCATCTCCCTTCCTCTCTGAAATTAATAAATATGTATTTTCAATAAAGTACCCTGACAACATACCCAGAGTGTTTTATGGAAAATGCAAGGAGATGGGCATCTGTCACCTCACTGGTTGAGCCCCATTGTCCCGCCCCCTTGTTCTTCAATAAAGCAGCTGCTGAAGCCCTCCTGCCACAGCACGCCAGGAACTGGACACAGGAACAGACAGCAGCTGGTGGTAAGTTCCGAGCCTGAGAATTTAAACATTGTTATGAGAGTGTCTATTATGTGGCAGATACCTCCTGAGCTCTAGAGCTGGACTGTCCAATAGGAATCCACTTGCCACATATGACTATTGAGTTTTTGCTAATCTGACCTGCATTGAGCTGCAGTCAAAAATGTACTCTGATATTCAAAGACTTGGCATGAAAAGGGAAGAAAAAAATGCCTCATTGAAAATTCTCAGATTGGTTATGCTCCAATGGTAGTCTCTACGTGTTGAGTTAAATAAATTATTGAAATTCATTTCTTTTGCTTTTAAAATATCGTATTAAATATGAGACTCACAGCGTGGCTCTACAGATATAGCATTGGATGAATTCCGTAGTCTTCTGTTGCAGGTGTATGAATGTAGAGAGTACTTAAAAAAAGAAAATATATGAATGGACAAATGAACAAGGACAGTCCCTGGTGATACAGGCTGTTCTTGGGGAATCTGCTTTATACTGTTAGTCAGAAAACACACATCTGCCGAGACTGGTTTGGCTCAGTGGATAGAGCGTCGGCCTGTGGACAGAAAGGTCCCAGGTTTGATTCCAATCAAGGGCATGTACCTTGGTTGCAGGCTCTTTGCCAATGGGGCGTGTGCAAGAGCAGCTGATCAATGTTTCTCTCTCATCGACGTTTCTAACTCTATCTCTCTCTCTTTCTCTCTGTGAAAAGTCAATAAAATATATTTTTACAAAGAAAATAAACACATCTGAGAATATAATATCTAAGCTGAGATAGCAATATTCAGAGGTGGGAAGCTTAAAAGGAGGGGCATAGTAGGCAAAAGGAACAAGCCTGAAAAAGCCTGAAATGGCAATGAGCTTGGCACATTTAAGAAATGAAAGGGATTCCGTGTGGATTCCTCACAGGGTGTAAGATGTGTTCTGAAGGGTGCACGGTGCAGACCCACGAGTACTTGGGGAACTTGAACTAGGAGTTTGGAAGCCATTGGAGGCTGTTGAGCAGAAGAATGTCATGGTATGATTTGTGCTTGTAAGAGATCATCCGGCTTATGTCTAGAGAACGGATTTGGGTGGAGACAGCATCAGAAGAACAAGCCATTTGGAAGGTTAGTGCAGATCTACAGCCAGAGAAGGGATACAGACCAGGGTTGTGGTGAGAGAAACCAATCCACATGTGGACTCACTGATTTTGTAGAGAGGCTTGGTTGACTTGGATGGGATGGTCATAGAAAGGAGGTGTAAGGATGTGTTAGCTTTGGAGATTTAACAATTGTGCACTTAAATTACAAACAGGCACGGGATACTGAAAGTGGTACATTTGGGGAGGAGTCAAGAGTTTGGTTTATTCGAGGCAACATTCGGATTGGGAGGAGAAAAGGCTAGTAAATAAGACTGAGGTAAAGTGGCCTGTTGAGCTATAAGCACATCCAAGACTATGTTGCGTGCACGTTTTATCATCAAGTGGCATGAGAAAGAGGAAGTGGTTTTTGGGTCCCCCCAAACTGAGATATCAGGATAGGAACCCAGAAGGCACTACTGGGAGAGTGACATGGAGGCTATGGGCCCCCTTAAGGGGAGCACAGTCCTTGGAATGCTCAGGACCAAGTCAATTCACAGTGAATTTAGGAGTCAAGCTGAGGTGACAAGTGGAGACACTCTGCCTTTTAGAGTTTGGCCATGGATACACCTCATCAAGAGAATTCTCTCTCTTTTTTTAAAAAATATATTTTATTGATTTTTTACAGAGAGGAAGGGAGAGAAATAGAGAGCTAGAAACGTTGATGAGAGAGAATCATCGACCAGCTGCCTCTTGCACACCCCCTACCGGGGATGTGCCCGCAACTAATGTACATACCCCTGACCGGAATCGAACCTGGGACCTTTCAGTCCTCAGACCGACGCTCTACCACTGAACCAAACCGGTTTCGGCAAGAGAATTCTCATGAAAGCACACAGGGCTGAAGCTGAAAAGGAGCATGGGGCAAGGATGGCTGCTTTGTGAAGGGAGGGCATATGATCCTGTTTTTGTGATAGAATGATACAGCAGAAAGAAGATTTTTAAAAAATATTTTATTGATTTTTTACAGAGAGGAAGGGATAGAGATAGAATGTTAGAAACTGCGTCCTGCACACCAAGGATGTGCCCGCAACCAAGGTACATGTCCTTGACCGGAATTGAACCTGGGACCCTTCAGTCTGCAGGCCGATCCTCTATCCACTGAACCAAACTGGTTTGGGCCAGGAAGAAAATCTTGAGGATGTTTTGGCTGAAAAGAAAAGTGACACTGCAGGAGGGGCATTGTTGGGAAGGTGAGAGAGGGGGAAATGCAGAGCAAACGTGAAAGGGGAAGAACAAGAATTCTATTCGAGATACAGGCGCAGCTATATAGGGGGTTTGCTTGAGAGAAGGCTAAAAGGTTCACAAACAATTACTACCATTTACTCATTAAAATATGAGGCAAGGGCATCTGCTTAGAGCAGGAATGGGAAGGAGTTTAAGAAGTTTAAAGAGAGCCAGGCCAAGGTGGTTGAGCGTTGACCCATGAACCAAGAGGTCACCAGTTCAATTCCCCATCAGGGACGTGCCCCGTTTCAAGCTAGATCCCCAGTTCCGGACTTACAGGAGGCAGCTGATTGATGTTTGTCTGTCATCCATGTTTCTCTCTATCCCTCTTCCTTTCCCTCCCTCTAAAATCAATAACACTCTTGGTAGAGTAATCGGCCGAATCGGTAGAATGCATACTATAGTAATTATGGGAACATGGAGAAGTGTCCTTTCCCAAAGGAACAGCCAGGAGTCTGTCCAATCCTAGTGACTAGCCACAAGGCTCAGGAGGGTGGGTCTGGAGAGGAAGCTCCAGTGGAAGTTGTTGGCCTGAACAGAAGTGCTGTGGTATGGTGCTCTGCTGACACATTCTCATTGTTGACATGTTTCAGGTGCGGTCAGGATGGAAACTGGCTACACTGCTCTGCAGATCTTCTTCTTTGTGGCCCATGGGATCACTTGTGTCCTCGGCACAGTGGGAAATGGGCTTGTGATCTGGGTGGCTGGATTCCGCATGGCATGCACAGTCACCACCTTGTGTTACCTGAACCTGGCCATCGCCGACTTCCTCTTCAGCGCCACTCTGCCATTCTTCATGGTTGTGAATTCTATGGAGGGACGATGGCCTTATGGCTTGTTCCTATGCAAGTTATTGAGCATTGTGATAGACACAAACCTGTTTGCCAGTGTCTTCCTCATTGCTTTCATTGCTCTGGACCGCTGTATTTGTGTCTTGCATCCGGTCTGGGCCCAGAACCACCGCACTCTAAGTCTGGCTAAAAAAGTGATCATTGTACCCTGGATTCTTGCTCTACTCCTCAACTTGCCAGTTCTCATCTTCTTTACTACAGTCAAGGATGATAACGGGGATATATTCTGTGAATTCAACATGGACTTCTGTGGTGACATCAGTGAAGAAGAGAAGTTGCAGAGGTTGTCTACCTCAGCAACAATCATGGTGATTACCCGGTTTGTCATTGGCTTCACTCTACCGATGTCCATCATCGCCATCTGCTATGGGCTCATTGCAGCCAAAATGCGAAACAAGGGCATGATAAAGTCCCATCGTCCCTTACGAGTCCTCACAGTTGTCGGAGCCTCGTTTTTCATTTGCTGGTTCCCCTTCCAACTGTGTCTTCTTCTGCATACACTGTATGCCAGAGCAGTAGTTGAAGGTAGTTTTGACATTATTCCTCTCCTGGAATCTCTAACAAGCACCTTGGCCTTTTTCAACAGCTGCCTCAACCCAATGCTCTACGTCTTCCTGGGGAGAGACTTCCGAAAGAGACTGATCCACTCCCTGCCTGCCTATCTGCAGAGGGCCCTGACTGAGGACACAGACCCAATCAGTTACACAACAAACAAATCTCCTTTGTCTCCTACTGAGGCCGAATTACAGGAGATGTGAGGTGACTGGGATCATTTATAAGTTCTGCCTCCTCCTGTCCTGCTCCTTCTTCCAGCTTCATCTTACCTGAGGTCATACTGAGTGTTAGGTAAAATTTCCCTGCCCAAGAGACTGTATGAATGTAATGAGGGTCCCGTTATTACTCTCAGAGTTTACTAAGGGAACATACATACAAGGCTCAGCTTGGGAGGCAGCAAGATGACATGGATGCCCTCCCTGCCACATGGCAGGTGGACAGTACAGATGGATGGAGGTACTGGAGAATAACCCACCTCACATACAGAGAAAATGCCTTATATACTTGCCCAAAACACAGTGAGGGGCCGACTAAGGAACCAGCATGCCAGGGGCTTTGGGAGGGATTGGGCTGTCTTTGAGGAAATTTCTGGAAAGCGATCTCTGCTCTGGCCTGAATCTGGCCGGATCTGGCTAGACAGTCTGGCAGCGATCACATTAGTGAACAGCCTCTTCTCCACACTGAATCACTCACCAGGAAAAGTACTTTGGTGACCCCTGATCTGGGGAAAACAAATGGGCATCAGGGTATATTGCTTTTATTTTTGGTTCTACCCCGGGGAAAGAATACAGGGATAGGAAGAGGAGGATGGATGGGGAATCTGTAAAGCTTAGAGGAGAGAGTATATTAAGGCAAAAACTTTAGTATTTCATCATGAAGTAAGATGTTTCCATCTATTTTTTAAATCTGAACACGTTTCTTATTCCTACTTTACTAATGGTTTGCTTCTTTTTAAAACCATGATTAAGTGCTAGGCTGTATCAAATGCATATTCAGCTATTAAATCGATCATATTATTTTTACCATTTTTACTTACACCATCATAAACTGTAGTGATGTTTGATTGTCAAATTACCTTTGTATTCATAGAATAACCACAGTTGGTCATGATATATTTTGTATATTTCTAATTAATCTCACTAGATGGGCTTGGAATTTCTGCATTTATGATTCTGTAAAGATGGGTTTAGTCTTTTACTTTCCTCTTATGTCTATGTCAGGTTTTACATCAAAAGAAAAAGAGCTGGGAAGTGATTCCTCCAATACTGTTCTCTGATGTTATATTGAGTCTTGGGCTTTCTTTTTGAGAAGACTTCTTAACAGACTCTGTTCCTTTAATAACTTCAGACTATTCAGCCGGGACCGGTTTGGCTCAATGGATAGAGCATCGGCTTGGGGACTGAGAGTCCCGGGTTCGATTCCGGTCAAGGGCATGTACCTTGGTTGCGGGCACATCCCCAGTGGGGGGTGTGCAAGAGGCAGCTGATCGATGACTCTCTCTCGTCGATGTTTCTAACTCTCTATCTCTCTCTCTTCCTCTCTGTACAAAATCAATAAAATATATTTAAAAAATAAAAATAAAAAAAATAACTTCAGACTATTCAGACCTTCTATCACCTCTACTGTCTGTTTTGGTAATCTGTGATGTTCAAGGAATTTAGCCATATTTTCCAAATGGTCAAATTTGTTCTTATGAAAGAGTCTGAGAACTGTGTTATAGTACTTGGTAGGGGTATCTTTACATGATAAGAATGTAATCTATCTGAGGGCAGAGTTTGGCCTTTATTGTTCATGAATGAATCCCAAAACCATATGTGTAAAGAAGTTATATAATTAATGACTCAAAAAATATTAGCATCATCTTGGTATCAACTATGATCTTTAATGTCTAATTAAATGAACTGTGAATTCATCCTCAATGGGGGCCTGTTAACTCTTGCTGCCATTCCCAAAATTTTTACAAGGCCTCAAGTGCCTTATCTTTTTATGAATACCTCAGATTCTGACTTTCTGTTTCCAATAAAGTACTCTGGCTAACTGGTGACTGGTGTCTTTGCTTTGAAATGAATCAATCTATAGTCATTGCAGCCTTTTTCCTTGGTTTCCACAAATAATCACTCACACGTTGTCATCTAATGTGTAACAGAACATGCTGATGCATTGGCAAAGGTGAACTCAAAATAAATATTCAAATGTAAAAAAATATGTTAGTGTTAGTCCCTGGTTCTTACAACTGGCATCTACACACTTGTAATTTCCTAAATGATAAAGGAGTCTTTTATCAATTTTTTTTAAAGTTTCCTACATGCCTATGTTAATTTTGTTTATTTATTTTGTTAATCCTCACCTGAGGGTTTTTAGAGAGTGGTAGGGAGAGAGAGAGAGAGAGAGAGAGAGAGAGAGAGAGAGAGAGAGAGAGAGAGAGAGAGAGAGAGAGAGAGAGAGAGAGAGAGAAGGAGAGAGAGAGAAGGAGAGAGAGAGATTGAATGGTTGCCTCCCACATCCACTCCAACCAGGGCCAGGAATAGAGCCTGCCACTGAGGTACAGGCCCTTGGCCAAAATGGAACCCAGGACCTTTTAGTCCAAGGGCCAATGCTCTATCCATGAGCCAACCTATCGTGGGCTAGAACTGTCTCTTTATCATGAGGAGTCCCTTTGGGTCACACCAGAATTTGTGCTAATGAGGTATGTTAAGGTGGGCTGTCCAGTAAGAGGTAGCCTCAGTAGGACCAAGTGATTAAATTTCAGCTCAACACACTGACTTCTGGAATCAATAGCTGGGAAGGTGCAGGATATTGAGCTCCATAAAAACTCTTGAACCATAGGACTTGATGAGCTTCTAGGTAATTGAACACACCAAGGCATTGGGAGGATAATGCCCCAGAGAGAACTTGGAAACTATGTGCACACACATCCCCTATACCTTGCCCAATGCATCTCTTCGATTTGGCGGTTCTGAGTTGTATTTTTAATACTGAATTGCTAAACAAGTACCAGTAAATTCCTTCCTGAGTTCTGTGCATCATCCTAGCAAACCATCGTACCTAAGGAGGGGGGCTATGGGGACCCCTGATTTACAGCTGGTCCGTCTAAAGTACAGTTGGCAACCTGGGACTCCCAAGTGGCACCTGAAGTGGGGTAGCCTTATAGCACTGAGCCCTGTACCTTGTAGGATCTGGCCCTAATTCCAGACAGTGTCAGACTGAATTAGACTGTAGAACACCCAGGTCAGGTCCACAGAGAACTGGAGAACATTTCAGTACAGAACTAACCCACACCTCTGATGTCTGAAGTGTTGTTTGAGTGAAGTAACAAGATATTTTTTTTTTAAGCCAATGACTGTGTTTTATTGCTTGCCTCCAATTCCTCTCACATCAGCAATTATTTCTTTCATTTCCCTGAATCCCTGAAAGAGAAAGGGCCCGGATACAAAACATCCTTAACTTGCCTGTTCTCGTCTTCTTTACTACAAGATACTTATAGTAAATATAAGTTTACTATACATTTGGCCCTTGATATTTAGAACACTGAACTCCTGTCTCCCACGTCGGGTGGAACGAGAGGGGAATATTCAGACACTAAGGTTCTGAAAAGAATAAGCTGACACCATATCCAGAGTGCTTCACGGAAATTGCAAGAAGCTCTGGGTTCCTGTCAGCTGACGGGTTGAGCCCCATTGTCCCGCCCCCTCGTTTTCCAATAAAGCAGCTGCTGAAGCCCTCCTGCCTGAGTTACTGCACAAGAAGACAGGAACTGGCCACAGGAACGGGTTGCAGCTGGTGGTAAGTTCCAAGCCTTAAACATTGTTATGAGAGCACTTGTTATGTGGCAGATACCTCCTGAGCTCTGCCAGGGGTCCTCAAACTTTTTAAAGTGGGGGCCAGATCACGGTCCCTCAGAGAGCTAGAGCAGCGTTTTTCAACCGCTGTTCCGCAGCACACTAGTGTGCCGCGAGATGTTGCCTGGTGTGCCGTAGGTGCAGACAAGACAAGAATTTTATAATTTTTCACTATTTTGTTTACTTAATATTTCATAATAAAGTAATTATAAAATACTTTCTTTGTGTTTATTTGATTCCTATTCAAGAGAATTACTTTATATATAGTCAATATAGGCACAGAGTTAAATTTTTTAACATTTTCTAATGGTGGTGTGCCTCATGATTTTTTTCATGAAACAAGTGTGCCTTTGCCCAAAAAAGGTTGAAAAACACTGAGCTAGAGGGCCGGACTATATGAACTACTAATTCCTACTGTAACACCTCGGCTGCGCTCACTGCCCAAAAAACCTGGTGGGCCAGATCAGACTCCTCTGCGGGCCGCATGTGGCCCGCGGGCCGTAGTTTGAAGACCCCTGCGAGTCTAGACTGTCCAGTAAGAATCCACTTGCCACATATAACTATTGAGTTCTTGCTAGCCTGACCTGAGATGAGCTGCAGCCAAAAATGAATTTCATATACTCAAAGACTTAGTCTGAAAAAGGAAGACAAACTGTCTCATGGAAAATTCTCAGATTGGTTATGCTCAAATGATAGTCTCTATGTGTTGAGTAAAATGAAATATATTATTAAAATTTATTTCTGTTCCTGGGATAACTGGTTTGCACTGTGCATCAGGCGGGACCTCTCTGAGAATAGAATATCTAAGCTGAGATAGCAATATTCAGAAATAGCCAGATGCAAGAAGCTTGAATGGAAGGGCAAAGTAGGCAGAAGGAAGAGAAGATGCGAAAGCCCTGATATGGCAGTAAGTGTGGCATGTTCAAGAAATCAAAGGAATTCAGTGTGAATCCCTAACACTGTGTGAGATGATATAGGTGTGTGAGGTCTGAGGCATACACAGCCCAGATCCAGGAGAACTTGGTAAGCTTGAGATAGGCGTTTGGAAGCCATTGGAGGGTGTTGAGCAGAATAATGTCATGGTATTTCTGTTTTTAAAAGATTCTTTTGGCTTATATGTAGAGAGAGAATGGTTTGAGGGAGGGGAAGAAGGCTGCATTAGAAGCAAGAATAAGCTATTTAGAAGGTAAGTGCAAATATGCAACCAGACAAGGTCTATGGACAAAGTTAATGGTGATAAAAATTGTTCCAGTTACTTTGTAGATATAATTGATTGACTTAGATGGGATGGTTATAGAAAGGGGATTCAAGGATGTGTCAGATTTACAGGTAGAAATTTAACAACTGAGTGCTTACATTCCAAATAAACACCGAATATTAAGAGGGACAGATTTGGGAGGATAGAAGAACTAAGAGTTTGATCTAGGCAATGTGAGGTATGGAAGGAGAAAAAGCTAATAAATTAGCCCTAGCTGGTTTGGCTGAGTGGATAGAGCATCGGCCTGCAGTCAAGGGCATATGCCTGGTTGTGGGCTCGATACTCAGTAGGGAGTGTGCAGGAGGCAGCCGATCAATGATCCTCTCTTATCATTGGTGTTTCTATCTCTCTCTCCCTTCTCCCTTCCTCTCTGAAATCAATAAAAAAAATTTTTAAATAATAAAGCTAGTAAATTGGTCTGAGGTGAGGCAGTCTATTGAGCTATAAAGACAACCAGGAGTGTGTTATAGGTACATTTTATCATCTAAAGGCATATGGAAATGTGGTTTAAGGAGGAAAGGATTTACGGCATCCTACATCACTGAGATATCAGGATAAGAACTGAGAAGGCGCCAAAACCGGTTTGGCTCAGTGGTAGAGCGTCGGTCTGTGGACTGGAAGGTCCCAGGTTCGATTCCGGTCAAGGGCATGTACATTGGTTGCAGGCGCATCCCCAGTAGGGGGTGTGCAAGAGGCAGCTGGTTGATGTTTCTCTCTCATCAACGTTTCTAGCTCTCTATCCCTCTCTCCTCCTCTCTGTAAAAAAATCAATAAAATATATATATATATAAATAAATAAAAGAACTGAGAAGGCACCACTGGAGCAGTGACATGGAGGCCGTAGGCCTTCTTACGGAAATCACAGTCTATGGAGTTCTCAGGACCTAAGTCAGTTTTCAGAAGTTTAGGAGAAAAGCTGAGGTGACAAAATTCACTGAAAGAATTTTCTTGAGAGCACAGGGCCAAAGCTGGAAGGAACATGGGCCAAAGGCTGTTGCTTTGTGAAGGAAGGGGCTATGATCATGTTTGTGTCCTACAATGATTTAGTAGAAAGAAAATCTTGGCGATACTTTGGCAGAAAAGAACAGTGATACTGCTGGAGGGTAATTTTTGGAAAGGTGAGACAGAGAGAGGGATCCAGAGCAAACTTGAGGAAGGAATGAACAAGAACTCTTGATTTAC